GGTTCCTCTCAGGACCCTGGGGACGGGAAACGGAGGGTAGTTTTTAAGGATTTTTTAAAACTCTCCCAAGAAGTGTTAGAAATTCCCACTTCCTCTGGGGCAGGGATCCCCCTTAGCCTGGTGGCCTCTGGCAAGGAGCTGGGGAGGCCCAGGGCAGAGCTACTGGAGGCAGCCAGATGACCATCCCTGGCTAGGTCTGGAGGCCAGGTGTAGGTGGCGACCAAGGCTCTGCTGGTTACCTCCTCTGAGGAGCCCTCCCTCCTGACTGCTTTTTTTTTTTTTTTTTTCTTTTGCACTCAGAAAATGATTCGATTCCAATGCATTCCTGACTGCTTTCTAAGAAATATCCTCTGCTGGATTCGGTGGCTCATGCCTGTAATCCCAGCACTTTGGGAGGCCAGCCACGTTGATTGCTTGAACCCAGGAGTTTGAGGCCAGCCTGGGCAAATGGTGAAAGCCTGTCTCTACAAAAAATTAGCTGGGCACCCGTAGTAGCAGTTAGTCAGAAGGCTGAGGTGGGAGGATCGCTGGAGGCCAAGAGGTTGAGCCTACAGTGAGCTGAGATCACGCTGCTACATTCCAGTCTAGGTCACAGAGTGAGACCTTGTACCAAAAAAATAAAGCACCCTCCTTCTTTTTTAATATAGAGACAAGGTCTTGCAGTGTTGCCCAGGCTGATCTCAAACTCCTGGGCTCAAGTGATCTCCTGCCACCTTGGCCTCCCAAAGTCCTGGGGTTACAATTGAGAACCACCACGCTTGGTCCAACACCCCCCTCCTTTTCTTTTTCTTTTTCTTTTTTTTAGTAGAGAGGGGTTTGTTCCATCTTGGTCATGCTGGTCTTGAACTTCTTTTTTTTTTTTTTTTGAGACGGAGTTTCGCTCTCGTTACCCAGGCTGGAGTGCAATGGCCCGATCTCGGCTCACCGCAACCTCCGCCTCCTGGGATCAGGCAATTCTCCTGCCTCAGCCTCCTGAGTAGCTGGGATTACAGGCACGCGCCACCACGCCCAGCTAGTTTTATTTTGTATTTTTAGTAGAGACGGGGTTTCACATGTTGACCAGGATGGTCTCGATCTCTTGACCTCCTGATCCGCCTGCCTCAGCCTCCCAAAGTGACCTAGGGCTGCTAGTGTCCTCTCTGGGCCTCTGGTAATAAATGCTGAAGAGGGAGGTGGGGCCCAGGAATTCAGACTTTCAAACAGCCTTTGGACTCAGGCCCTGGGGACATTCCAGGGGACACTTTACCAGGGAGGGGCAGTGTGAGGTAGGAGGCTGGGCTGCTGTCTCAGGGGGCCCTAAGCCTAGAGTCCTTCCCACTGCATTTCCAGCCTTGAGCACTTCACCAGTCCTGCCTCAGTTTTCTAGTCTGTGAATGGGGGTGTGTCTTCTGGAATGCTGCACCCATTCATTCATTCATTCATTCATTCTCCTCTCACTGAGCACCTACTGCAGGCGTCCCCAAACGTTTTACACAGGGGGCCAGTTCACTGTCCCTCAGACCGTTGGAGGGCGGCCACATACTGTGCTCCTCTCACTGACCACCAATAAAATAGGTGCCCCTTCCTGAAGTGTGGCGGAGGGCGGGATAAATGGCCTCAGGGGGCCGCATGCGGCCCGAGGGCCGTAGTTTGGGGACACCTGACTTACTGTGTTTAGGGTTCCTGTCCCCCTGGAGCTGACTCAAGTCTAGAAAGGAAGCTCTCTCTGCCTCAGTTCCTTCCTCTTAAAAATGGAGCTTGGGTTGCTCATGCCTGTAATCCCAGGACTTTGTGAGGCTGAGGTGGGAGGATAGCTTCAGCCCCCCAGAGCTGGAGACCCGTCTGGGTAACATGGTGAGACCGTGCCTCTACAAATCATTTAAAAATTAGCCAGGCATGGAGGTGTGTGTCTGTAGTCCCAGCTACTCATAAGTAGCCCAGGAGGTGGAGGCTGCAGTGACCTTATATCAGAAAAATAAATAGGCCGGGCGCGGTGGCTCACGTCTGTAATCCCAGCACTTTGGGAGGCGGAGGCGGGTGGATCATGAGGTCAAGAGATTGAGACCATCCTGGTGAACATGGTGAAACCCCGTCTCTACTAAAAATACAAAAAATTAGCTGGGCATGGTGGCACGTGCCTGTAATCCCAGCTACTCAGGAGGCTGAGGCAGGAGAATTGCCTGAACCCAGGAGGCGGAGGTTGCGGTGAGCCGAGATCACGCCATTGCACTCCAGCCTGGGTAACAAGAGCGAAACTCCATCTCAAAAAAAAAATAAAAAAATAAAAAATAAATAAATAAATAAATAAATAAATGGAGGTCGGATTCCCTCCTGGCAGAGTAGGGAAGGGGTTTCGGTGCCAAGGGCAAGGTGGCTGGGTGGTTGGTTTGCTGGAGGGACAAGGAGTGGTCGCTGGGCCTGAGCTGTGCAGGTTGTCTGGAGGTACTGCAGGGTCGGGGCATCGCCAGAGCAAAGGCCCAGCCAGGCAGGTGGAGTCCCCTTGGCTGAGTTCAATGGACGGTTCTCTGGGGGCTGTGTGCATACCCAGGTGACAGCTCCGAAAACTCCCTGCGGGGGCAAAGTTCCCAAGTGCAGAAGACAACCAGTTCACGTTTCCCCTGCTCGGCCCGCCCCCGGCCAGCCAGCTCTACTTCCTCTTTTCCTGGTCGGCTGCTCGCTCTCTCTTCAGCTCCTCCCTGCCCCTCACCCCAGGCTGCTCGGCCACCTCCAACCTGCCATCTCAGGACAGCCAGGCAGTCACGCATTCAGCAGCACGGAGCCCTGGGGTGGGTGTGGAGGGAAGGAGTGGGGGTGGTAGAGACCCAGGGAGGGCTCGTAGCCTGGTGGGAGAGGCCCTGTTCTAAATGCCAGCCACAAGCCTTGTTCTGAAGTAGGCAGGAAGGTGTGGTTGCAGAGGCTAAAATTCTTCCCCCAAGAGGGGCTTTCTGGGATGGGATTTGAGGGGTGCATAGGAGAGCACTAGGAGGTGGCCGCTGCGGACAGGGGGAACCACAAGCCAGGATGGGCCAGGAATGCTGCAGCCTGGGGCGGGGTGGGGCTGGAACTCCTCTTGGCCAGCTAAGCAGAGGCCCAGTGGCAACACAGGTCCTGTCTGGGGATCAGGTCTGCTCTGCACCCCACCCGACAGCCTCCCATCCTTGCTCCGCAGCTCCAGTCACATCCCACACACCCGCCCCCAAGCACCTCACTCACTTCATTCGACAAACCCCCAGAACTGGCCCTCATCAACGGGCAGCAAGAAGGCCCCCACCCCCCCACCCCCATCCCCCGCCACAACGCCAGCCGGTGAACTGGAGGGTTGGCAGGTCCTGAGGCAGCTGGCAAGATGCCTGCAGCTGAAAGATACAAAGACAGGGACAGGACAGTCCTGTCCCCAGGAGGCAGGGAGTAGACAGGCTGGGAAAGTTCGCCCTTGTGTGGGGCGGTGATGGAGGAGATTCAGCAAGTCTTCTGGACTGTGAACCTGTGTCTGCTGCTGTGTGCTGGGTGGTGGTCCTCTTTCCCACCAGGCTGTAGCCTCTGCAACCCTGAAGGGAGGAGGAGTCCCACCGGCTGAGCACAGCCTCACACCGTGAATTGGAACAAGCTGCCTCCTTCCTGGCCATAGGTGCCAAGTCCTTATATGGACTCATCTTTGTTGGTTTCGACACACACTCAATGAACACCTACTACGTGCTGCAAAGCCCCCCCGCAAGCCTGAGGTGCCCCCACCTCACCACCCTTACTGTTTTTGTGTGAAAATTCATCTTCTTGTCACCACCTCCAAGAAGGGGGAGGAGAAGGAGGTAGGTTCCTCTAGGGTGAGCCAAATGCCCCTCTGTGGTCCCACACCACTGATCACTGCATGGCTCCCACCTGTGTATGGTCTCTGATTCCCACAGCAGAGCGACCCCGGCCACCCCAGTCTTGTGTGCTATTCAATGGACAGACCCAAGGCAAGAAGGGGTGACAAGGAGAGGGTCTCCCCAGCCTGGCTTTCAGCTCCTGGCCCCGCCCCGCCCCCAATCCTCTCGGGCACATGGCGTCTTGGTCTAGAGAGTCCCCCCGCGGCCTCCAGATGGTCAAACAGGGCAGTGCAGTTGTGGCTGCGCACGGCAGACCTACAATGGACAGTGGTCCCAGACCCAGGACGTGTAGACCCGGCCCCCGCCCCGCAGTGCCTGCAGCTGCCTGGGTCATCCACTAACGCCCCTGGCCTGGTCTTGGCTGGGTGTGACCGTGCTGCCCTCAGACGCAGGCAGCTCCAGGGGAAAAGTTTCCCTGCCCTGTAGAGCCCACCTTCCGAGGGCTGCGGCCGGGGGGGGTTTGCAGCCTTCATCACAGGCCACCTCCAGCCACTGGACCGCTGGCGCCTGCCCTGTCCCGAGAAGTGTGGTCCTGAGACTTCTAAGCGGCCGCAAGCCTCCTGACTCCCCCAACACCACACGCTAACTCTCAGGCTCCGGTGTCTCCCTAGTGACCTACCCAGCCCATTTAGCCGGCCGAGTCCCACAGCCAGAGGTCCCGGCCTCTGCTTTCAGGGCAGCTGCTCTGAAGTCGGCAAGGGGGAGTGACTGACTGCCCGGCCACTCCGTGCCCAGGGCTCCTTCTGCAAGACAGCACAGCACCCAGGGCCCTGGCACCCGTGCAGACCCTGGCCCACCCGCCCTGGGCGCTCATTGCCCAAGTAACGTCCACACCTAGGGTGTCCCGCGGTGGGTGGGGGGGGCCCGAGAGACGGGCAGGCTGGGGGCAGGCCTGGCCACGCGGGGCCGATCCGGGCACTGCACAACGTGGGGCGCGGGGACCACGGCGCGCGCCCCCCATCCCCCGGGCCCAGCACCCCAGGGCGGCCAACGCCAAAACTCTCTCCCTCCTCCTCTTCCTCAATCTCGCTCTCGTTCTTTTTTTTTTTTTTTTTTTTTTTTTTTTTTGCCAAAGGAGGGGAGAGGGGGTAAAAAAATGCTGCACTGTGCGGCGAGGCCGGTGAGTGAGCGGCGCGGGGCCAATCAGCGCGCGCCGTTCCGAAAGTTGCCTTTTATGGCTCGAGCGGCCGCAGCTGCGCCCTATAAAACCCAGCGGCGCGACGCGCAGCCACCGCCGAGACCGCGTCCGCCCCGCGAGCACAGAGCCTCGCCCTTGCCGTTCCGTCGCCCGTCCACACCCGTCGCTAGGTAAGCCCGGCCCGCCGACCCGAGCAAGGGGCTCCCGGCCCAGCAGCCTTAAGGCTGTGTCCCCGTCGCCCGTGCACAGCGGCTTGGGGCACAGCGGCTTGGGCCACAGCTGGGGGCCCAGCGTATGGGAAAAGCAGACCGCCGTGGGGGGCGCGGGAGAAGTCCCAGCGCCTCCGGAGATGGAGAGCGCCCTGCTCTAGTTTGGGAGTGCAGGGCGGCGCTCGGGAAGCGAACTCCAGGGGGTGCCGCTGTCGGGACGGGGGCAGCTGGCGGGGTCTTTGTCCGAGCCTGGTTCTTGCTCGGGTGACTGGAGGGTGGGCGCGGCTGGGCCTCCGCCAGGCCCGGTGGGGGCTGGGATACCATTGCGCGTGTGCGCTGGGGCTTGTGGCGCTAACTGCGCGTGCGCGCTGGAGCCCCGGGCGCCGGGGCTCGGGCTGGGCGGAGGGCGGGCCAGGCCGGAAGGGGTGGGGTCGCCGGGGCGCAGGCGCACGCTTCCTGCCTGCGCCGCCGGCCGCCTGAGGGTGTGGCCGCCTTGCGCGCTAGTGCGCGCCGAACCGGCGTTTTTTGAATCGGGCGGAGGCGGGGCCGGCGCCCGGTGGGGAGGGGGCGGGGGCCTGGCTTCCTGCCGCGCGCCGCGGGGCCGCCTCCGACCAGTGTTTGCCTTTTATGGTAATAACGCGGCCGGCCCGGCTTCCTTTGTCCCCAATCTGGGCGCGCGCCGGCGCCCCCTGGCGGCCCAAGGCCGAGGCGCGCCGGAAGTGGGTAGGGCGGGGGCGACCCCTGCTCACAACGCGCCCTGCTCTGCCCGCAGTTCACCATGGATGATGATATCGCTGCACTTGTTGTCGACAACGGCTCCGGCATGTGCAAGGCCGGCTTCGCGGGCGACGATGCTCCCCGGGCCGTCTTCCCCTCCATCGTGGGGCGCCCCAGGCACCAGGTAAGGGAGTTGAGTGGGTGGGGCCGCCCCGTGATCGGGCGGGAGGCAAGGGCACTTAGGAGATATCCCGGCGCCCGGGATGGGGGCCGCGCCCGTGTTAAAGGCACCCTGTTCTTCGCAGGGCGTGATGGTGGGCATGGGTCAGAAGGACTCCTATGTGGGTGACGAGGCCCAGAGCAAGAGAGGCATCCTGACCCTGAAGTACCCCATCGAGCACGGCATTGTCACCAACTGGGACGACATGGAGAAGATCTGGCACCACACTTTCTACAACGAACTGCGTGTGGCTCCTGAGGAGCACCCCGTGCTGCTTACTGAGGCCCCCCTGAACCCCAAGGCCAATCGTGAGAAGATGACCCAGGTGAGTGACCTGCGGCCTCCCCTGGTGGCCACCTCCCTCGTTCCTGGCCTCCCGGAGCTGCCCCCTTTCTCACTGATTCTCTCTTCTGCCGTTCTCCGTAGGACTCTCTTCTCTGACCTGAGTCTCCTTTGGAACTCTGCAGGTTCTATTTGCTTTTTCCCAGATGAGCTCTTTCTCTGGTGTTTGCCTCTCTGACTAGGTGTCTAAAACAGACAGTGCTGTGGGTGTAGGTACTAACACTGGCTCGTGTGACAAGCCCATGAGGCTGGTGTAAAGCGGTCTTGGAGTGTGTATACAGTAGGCGCACAATAGGTCTGAACAGAATCCCCCTCCCAAGACCCCAGCACAACTAGCGGTGTTCTTGCACTTCCTGCATGTCCCCTGTCTGCTCTGGCTGTCCCTAGTGACCTCCTCAGTGTGACACAGAGCATCTCTTCCTACAGATCATGTTTGAGACTTTCAACACCCCAGCCATGTATGTGGCCATCCAGGCCGTGCTTTCCTTGTACGCCTCTGGCCGTACCACTGGCATCGTGATGGACTCCGGTGACGGGGTCACCCACACTGTGCCCATCTATGAGGGGTATGCCCTCCCCCACGCCATCCTGCGTCTGGACCTGGCTGGCCGGGACCTGACTGACTACCTCATGAAGATTCTCACCGAGCGCGGCTACAGCTTCACCACCACAGCTGAGCGGGAAATCGTGCGTGACATCAAGGAGAAGCTGTGCTATGTCGCTCTGGACTTCGAGCAGGAGATGGCTACGGCAGCCTCCAGCTCCTCCCTGGAGAAGAGCTATGAGCTGCCCGATGGTCAGGTCATCACTATTGGCAACGAGCGGTTCCGCTGCCCTGAGGCGCTCTTCCAGCCTTCTTTCCTGGGTAAGTGGAGACCCCTTCCTAGCCCTGCCTTGACGTGAGTGTCCCACAGGGCTGTGCTGTGGAAGCTTACGTCTGGCCCTCATTTTCCTCTCAGGCATGGAATCTTGTGGCATCCACGAAACTACCTTTAACTCAATCATGAAATGTGACGTGGACATCCGCAAAGACCTGTATGCCAACACAGTGCTGTCTGGCGGTACCACCATGTACCCTGGCATCGCTGACAGGATGCAGAAGGAGATCACCGCCCTGGCCCCCAGCACGATGAAGATCAAGGTGGGTGTCCTTCCAGGGGCCCTGTGGTTCGTGGGGAGCTGTCACATGCAGGGTCCTCACTGCCTGTCTCCTTCACTCCTCAGATCATTGCTCCTCCCGAGCGCAAGTACTCCGTGTGGATCGGTGGCTCCATCCTGGCCTCGCTGTCCACCTTCCAGCAGATGTGGATCAGCAAGCAGGAGTACGACGAGTCCGGCCCCTCCATCGTCCACCGCAAATGCTTCTAGGCGGACTGTGACTTAGTTGCGTTACACCCTTTCTTGACAAAACCTAACTTGCGCAGAAAACAAGATGAGATTGGCATGGCTTTATTTGTTTTTTTGTTTTGTTTTGGTTTTTTTTTTTGGCTTGACTCAGGATTTAAAAACTGGAACGGTGAAGGTGACAGCAGTCGGTTGGAGCGAGCATCCCCCAAAGTTCTACAATGTGGCCGAGGACTTGATTGTGTACATTGTTTTTTTTTTTTTTTTAAGTCATTCCAAATATCGTGAGATGCATTGTTACAGGAAGTCCCTTGCCCTCCCAAAAGCCACCCCACTTCTCTCTAAGGAGAATGGCCCAGTCCTCTCCTGAGTCCACACAGGGGAGGTCACAGCATTGCTTTTGTTGTAAATTATGTAATGAAAAACTTTTTAAATTTCGCCTTAATACTTTTTTTATTTTGTTTTATTTTGAAAGATATTAGCCTCTGTGGCTACCCCTTTTTTGGTCCCTCAACTTGAGATGTATGAAGGCTTTTGGTCTCCCTGGGAGTGGGTGGAGGCAGCCAGGGCTTACCTGTACACTGACTTGAGACCAGTTGAATAAAGTGCACACCTTAAAAATGAGGCCAAGTATGACTTTGTGGCACGGCTGGGGTGTGGGCAGTAGGTGAACCCAGGGGAAGGGTGGGGCACTGGGGGCCAACCCATCTGAGTGGAGGTGAGCTGAGGTCCTCTGACATTGAGCAGCCTTAGAATGTGGGGGAAGTTCAAGATTCAGGCCTCTGCTTATTGGGGAGTTCCTGGCCTGGCCCTGCCACCAGTCCCTAGGTACCCCAGTTACTCTGCATTCAAACAGGGTCTAGATGCTTCAAGAGGAGCTGGGGAAGGGTTTTTTGAGGAAGTCCTGGTTGGCACCTGTATTTCTTAGTGGAGATCCCTTGGGGTCACTCTGGGCAGGGGGTTCTTGTGGGGGCGTGGTGCATGTTCCTAGCCGCCATGCCTTTGTCCTACTCACTGTATTGGAGTGGTGGCTGTCAGCCTGGGCTACAGTCCATAGGCTGAGGAGAGGCCATGACTCCTGCCTCTACCCAGACAGGGAAACCTGGGATCCCAGTCAAATTTGGGTGGGGGGTCCATGGGGCCGTATCTGGACTGAGGTCTGGATTCTACTTGGACAAGAGTGGGCCCCATCCCATGGCCTCTCCCCAGTTTATGACCCATGCTGCCAAGGGAGATGGCCAGACTGGCAGGGCCTGCCTGGCATTGCAGGTCAGATTCTTGTTATTTTTGAGATGGGGTCTGTCTTTGTTGCCCAGGCTGGAGTGCAATGGTACAATCACAGCTCACTGCAGCCTCAGTCTCCCAAATACCTGCAACTAACACAGACATGCCCAGCTGGTTGTAGGTCAGATTCTCGCTGTTTTGCAGAGCTGAGTCACTCGAAAGAAACAGCCTGGCTTCCCTTCCCGCTGCTAGAAGCTTTGGTTGATACCAGTGGAGAATGAAGGAAGGGAACGAGGCTCCCTTTCAGGGATACCCTTTACCCAAAACACCACCTGGTGTATAGCAGTTGTTCTGGTAATGATCTGGTCCCCCAGGAGGCCTGGACTGCCTCTCACTTGTACACAGTGGCTGCTGTGTCAAGGGTCTGTCAAGGCCTTCTGGGGCAGTTGTAGCTGTTTTGGTCTTTATTGAGTGACCACTAGATGGTGGGCCTGGAGCTACTGAGGTGACCTAGACAAGAACCCTGCCCCGGAGGAGTTGTCAATCTGGAAATGAGGACTTCATTCGCTCATTCCTTCATCCATTTCTGCACTGAATCACTATTTGTGCCATGTACTGTGGGTACGGAGGATAACCAACCAGATGTGTTCCTGTCCTCCCCAGGCACCCAGTTGAAAGGGGAAGACATCATAAACACAAAGGCAAACAAATGAGTGTCCAATGACATGCTGTGATCATGGAAAGAAAGCAGAGGCTTTGATGCACACGAGCATCAGGTGATACTCATTATGTGGATTGTGGTGGTCTCGGGTGTAGACATACATTAAAACTTACCTAGGCTGGGCGCGGTGGCTCAAGCCTGTAATCCCAGCACTTTGGGAGTCCAAGGTGGGTGGATCACGAGGTCAAGAGATCAAGACCATCCTGGCCAACATAGTGAAACCCCATCTCTACTAAAAATAAAAAAATTTAGCTGGGCATGGTGGTGCCTGCCTGTAGTCCTGGCTACTTGGGAGGCTGAGGTAGGAGAATTGCTTGAACTTGGGAGGCAGAGGTTGCAGTGAGCCAAGAACTTGCTACTGTACTCCAGCCTAGCGCCAGCCTATGGGACAACACTCTAAAACAAACAAACTTATCTAATTGGGCCTGAGGTGATGGCCCATCCCTGTAATCCCAGCACTTTGGGAAGCTGAGGTGGGAGGATGGCTTGAGCCCAGGAGCTCAAGGTTGCTGTGAGCTATGATTGCTCTACTGCACTCCAGTCTGGGTGACAGAGCTAGACCCAGACTCGAAAAACTAAAATAGGACAGGCAGTCATGGTAGCTCGCAGCACTTTGGGAGGCTGAGGCAGGTGGCTCATTTGAGCCCAAATGAGGCCAGCCTGGGCAGCATAGTGACATCCTGTCTCAATTTTTTTTTTTTTTTTTTTTTTGAGATGGAATCTCCTGTCACCCAGGCTGGAGTGCAGTGTCGAAATCTCCGCTCACTGCAACCTCCACTTCCCAGGTTCAAGTGATTCTCCTGCCTTAGTCTCCTAAGTAGCTGGGAGTACAGGTACCCACTGCTACGTCTGTCCAATTTTTGTATTTTTAGTAGAAACGGGGTTTCACTATGTTGCCTACGCTGGTTTTGAGCTCCTGACCTCATGATCCACCTGCCTCAGCCTCCCAAAGTTCTGGGATTACAGACGTGAACCACTGTGCCTGGCCTTTTTTTTTTTTTTTTTGGAGACAGAGTTTCACTCTTGTTGCTCAGGCTGGAATGCAATGGCGTGATCTCGGCTCATTGCAACCTCTGACTCCCGGATTCAAGTGATTGTCCTGCCTCAGCCTCCAGAATAGCTGGGATTATGGGCACATGCCACCATGCCCAGCTAATTTCAAATGTTTAGTAGAGATGGGGTTTCTCCATGTTGGTGAGGCTGGTCTCAAACTCCTGACCTCAGGTGATCCACCCTTCTTGGCTTCCCAAAGTGTTGGGATTACAGGCATGAGATACCACGCCCAATCTCATTTTTTAAATAGTTAAAACTAAAATAAATAAAATTATGAAGTTGTACCTCAGTAAGACTAGGAAGAAATAAATTAAGAAACGCGGGGGGGGGGGGGTTGTTTATTTTATCTTATTTAATTCAGAGTCTTACTCTGTCCCCAGGCTGGAGTGCAGTGGCACAATCTCAGCTCACTGCAACCCCCGCCTCCCTGTTCAAGCAATTCTCCTGCCTCCATCTCCTGAGTAGCTGGGACTACAGGCACCTGCTACCATATCCAGCTAATTTTTGTATTTTTAGTAGAGACAGGGTTTCACCATGTTGGACAGGCTGGTCTCAAACTCCTGACTTAAAGTGATTCACCTGCCTCAGCCTCCCAAAATCCTGGGAATAGGGCCGGGCGCAGTGGCTCAAGCCTGTAATCCCAGCACTTTGGGAGGCCGAGGCGGGTGGATCACAAGGTCGAGAGATCGAGACCATCCTGGTCAACATGGTGAAACCCCGTCTCTACTAAAAACACAAAAAAGTAGCTGGGCATGGTGGCGCTTGCCTGTAATCCCAGCTACTCAGGAGGCTGAGGCAGGAGAATTGCTTGAACCCAGGAGGTGGAGGTTGCGGTGAGCCGAAGATCGCGCCATTGCACTCCAGCCTGGGTAACAAGAGCGAAACTCTGTCTCAAAAAAAAAAAAAAAATCCTGGGATTGCAGGTTTGAGCCACCATGCCTGGCCAGATTTTTAATTTTTTTAATTTATTTTTTTAGAGACACAGGTCTCACTGTGTTGCCTAGGCTGGAGTGCAGTGGTGAGGTTACAGCTCATTGCAGCCTCCTTTATAGACTCAAGTGATCCTCCCACCTCAGCCTCCCCAAAATGCTGGGGAGCTACCATGCCTGGCCAGATTTTAAACTGTGGTGACCACCAATGTCGAAATGCTTGGGCCTCGACCAGGTCCTCCTGCATGTGCCCAAGCCTTGCACTGCGGCTCAGTCTGCAGGTTCTCCTAGTGCTTGCTGAGCCAGCTGTGCATGGCACATGGTTTTCATTTTTTTATTTTATTTTATTTTATTTTATTGAGACGGAGTTTTGCTCTTGTTACCCAGGCTGGAGTGCAATGGCGCGATCTTGGCCCACTGCAACCTCCGCCTCCTGGGTTCAGGCAATTCTCCTGCCTCAGCCTCCTGAGTAGCTGGGATTACAGGCACGCGCCACCATGCCCAGTTAATTGTTGTATTTTTAGTAGAGACCAGGTTTCACCATGTTGACCAGGATGGTCTCGATCACTTGACCTCGTGATCCACTCGCCTCAGCCTCCCAAAGTGCTGGGATTATAGGTGTGAGCCACCGTGCCCGGCCTTCTTTTTCTTTTTTGAGACAGAGTCTCGCTCTGTCGCCCAGGCTGGAATACAGTGGCATGATCTTGGCCCACTGCAACCTCTGCCTCCTGGGTTCAGGCAATTCTCCTGCCTCAGCCTCCTGAGTAGCTGGGATTACAGGCACGCGCCACCATGCCCAGCTAATTGTTGTATTTTTAGTAGAGACGGGGTTTCACCATGTTGACCAGGATGGTCTGAATCTCTTGACCTCATGATCCACCCGCCTCGGCCTCCCAAAGTGCTGGGATTACAGGCTTGAGCCACCGCGCCTGGCCAAATCTTTTTTTCTTTTTTTTTTTTTTTTTTTTTGAGATGGAGTTTCGCTCTCGTTACCCAGGCTGGAGTGCAATGGCGCGATCTCGGCTCACCGCAACCTCCGCCTCCTGGGTTCAGGCAATTCTCCAGCCTCAGCCTCCTGAGTAGCTGGGATTACAGGCACGTGCCACCATGCCCAGCTAATTTTTTGTATTTTTTTAGTAGAGACGGGGTTTCACCATGTTGACCAGGATGGTCTCGATCTCTCGACCTCGTGATCCACCCGCCTCGGCCTCCCAAAGTGCTGGGATTACAGGCTTGAGCCACCGCGCCCGGCCTTTTTTTCTTTTAAAGGCTAGTCAAGTGAAGCAGTGGGAGTGGAGAAGGAACAAAGAAATCTGTAACTGGTTGTGATCAATTAGTTGTAAACACCACTGCACTCGGACCAGCCGAAGTTCATCTTTCTTATTTTTATTTTTTTTTTTGTGAAACAGAGTCTTACTCTGTCACCAGGCTTTAGTGCAATGACGTGATCTCAGCTCACTGCAACCTCCGACTCCCTGGTTCAAGTGATTCTCCTACCTGAGCTTCCTGAATAACTGGGATTACAGGTGCACACTACCATGCCAGGCTAATTTTTGTATTTTTAGTAGAGATGGTGTTTCACCATGTTGGTCAGCCTGGTATTAAACTCCTGACATCAGGTGATCCATCTGCCTTGGCCTCCCAAAGTGCTGGGATTACAGGCGTGAGCCACCACATCCAGCTTTTTTTATATTTATTTTTTGAGGCAGTCTTGCTCTGCTGCCCAGGCTGGAGTGCAGTGGTATGATCATAGTTAATTGCAACCTTGACCTCCCAGGCTCCAGCAATCCTGCCTCAGCCTGCTACGTTAGCTGGGGCTACAGATGTGTATCACCTCACCTGATTTTTTTTTCTTGCTATAGGGTCTTGCTCTGTTGTCCAGGCTGGAGTGCATTGGTGTGATCTTGGCTTACTGCAACCTCCACCTCCCAGGCTCAAGTGATTCTCCCACCTCAGCCTTCCAAGTAGCTGGGACTACAGGCATAAGCCACCATGTCTGGCTAATTTTTTTGTATTTTTTGGTGGAGACCGGGTTTCACCATGTTGTCCAAGCTGGTTTCAAACTCCTGAACTCAAGCAATCCACCCACCTGGGTCTCCCAAAGTGCTGGGATTACAGACAGGTGTGAGCCACTGCCCCCGGCTTCACCTGGCTAATTTGTAAAAACCTTTCATAGAGATGGGGTGTTGCTATATTGCCTTCACTGGTCTAAAACTCCTGGTCTCAAGCAATTCTCCTGCCTCCACCTTCCAAAGCACTGGGATTACAGGTGGGAGGCCGAGGCAGGTGGATCACGAGGTCAGGAGATTGAGACCATCTTGGCCAACATGGTGAAACTCCGTCTCTACTAAATACAAAAAATTAGCCAGGTGTGGTGGCAGGCACCTCTAGTCCCAGCTACTCGGGAGGCTAAGGCAGGGTAATCACTTGAAACCAAGAGGCAGAGATTACAGTTAGCTGATATTGTGCCACTGCACTCCAGCGACACTCCATTCAAAAAAAAAAAAGAAAAGAAAGAAAATGAAAACATGACCGTGGTGGTGTCTCACGCCTGTAATTCTGGCACTTTGGGAGGCTGAGGTGCGTGGATCACCTGAGGTTAGAAGTTTGAGACCAGCCTGGCCAACACAGTGAAATGCCATCACTACTAAAAATACAAAAATTAGCTGGGCGTGGTGGCACTTGCCTGTAGTCCCAGATACTTGGGAGGCTGAGGCAAGAGAATCGCTTGAACCCTGGAGTCAGAGGTTGCAGAGAGCCCAGATCACGCCACTGCACTCCAGCCTGGGTGACAGAGACTCCATCTCAAAAAATAAGGAAAGAAAATGAATACACTTGGCCGGGTGCGGTGGCTCAAGCCTGTAATCTCAGCACTTTGGGAGGCCGAGGTGGGTGGAGCACGAGGTCAAGAGATCGAGACCATCCTGGTCAACATGGTGAAACCCCGTCTCTACTCAAAATACAAAAAATTAGCTGGGCATGGTGGCACGTGCCTGTAATCCCAGCTACTCAGGAGGCTGAGGCAGGAGAATTGCCTGAACTCAGGAGGCAGAGGTTGCGGTGAGCCGAGATCGTGCCATTGCACTCGAGCCTGGGTAACAAGAGTGAAACTCCATCTCAAAAAAAAAAAAAAAAAGAAAAGAAAATGAATACACTTTCTTTGGGTCACCCAGAAGTCAGTTCCAGTATTCAAATCTAGTTCTTTTTTTTTTTTTCTTTCTTCATCTTAATTTTCTGTAGAGAGAAGTCTTGTTATGTTGCCCACGCTGATCTCAAACTCCTGGGCTCAAGCAATTCTCCTGCCTCAGACTGCCAAAGTGCTAGGATTACAGGTGTGAGCCACTGTGCTTGGCCTCAAACCCAGTTCTTTGGATTCCAGAGAATGAACTTTCTTTCTCCAGGGATTTTTTTTTTTGTTGTTGTTGTTGACAGGGTCTGGAACTGCCGCAGGGCTGGTGGCATGATCTCAGCTCACTGCAACCTCTGCCTCCTGGGTTCAAGTGATTCTCCTGCCTAGGATCCCGAGAAGCTGAGATTATAGGCGCTCATCACACACCAGGCTAATTTGTTGTATTTTCAGTAGGGATGGGTTTTCGCCTTGTTGGCCAGGCTGGTCTCGAATTCTTGAGTTTGTGATTTGCCCACCTCGGCCTCCCAAAGTGCTAGGATTACAGGCATGAATCCCAGGGATTTTTTTTTTTTTTGAGACAGAGTTTATCTCTGTCTCTGGAGTGCAGTGGTGCCATCTTGGCTCTGCAGTTTCTGCCTCCCGGGTTCAAGCAATTCTCCTGCCTCAGCCTCCCGAGCAGCTGGGATTACAAGCGCTTGTCATCACATCCAGCTAATTTTTGTATTTTTAGTGGAGTCGGGGTTTTATTATGTTGGCCAGGACGGTCTCGATATCCTGACCTGGTGATCCGCCCACCTTGGCCTCCCGAAGTGCTAGGATTACAGGCGTGAGCCACCTAGCCTGGCCTAATTGTTGTATTTTTAGTAGAGACTGGGTTTCACCATGTTGGCCCGGCTGGTCTTGAACTTCTGACCTCAGATGATCCGCACACCTCGCCCTCCCAAAATGCTGGGATTACAGGCGTGAGCCACAGTGCCCGGCCGGGTCTAATTATTTTGAAATGCAAACGCTTAAGTGTGAGGGCACATACATTCATATTTACTTAGCAAATATGTATTCAGTGTCTATTGCATTCCTGGGATAGTTCCAGGTATTGGGAAATCCTGTCCCTGCTCACAGTTTATTGGTTTATGAGGGGGAGGACCAAAAATAAAGAGATACAGTCGTCAGATGGTGCAAAAAGCTATAGAGAAGGCCGGGCGCGGTGGCTCACGCTTGTAATCCCAGCACTCTGGGAGGCCGAGGTGGGTCGATCACGAGGGTCAAAAGATCGAGACCATCCTGGTCAAAATGGTGAAACCCTGTCTCTACTAAAAATACAAAAATTAGCTGGGCGCATGCCTGTAGTCCCAGGTACTCAGGAGGCTGAGGCAGGAGAATTGCCTGAACCCAGGAGGCGGAGGTTGTGGTGAGCCGAGATCGCGCCATTGCACTCCAGCCTGGGTAACAAGAGCAAAACTCCGTCTCAAAAAAAAAAAAAAAAAAAAAAAAAAAAGAGCTATAGAGAAACACACACAATGAGAGGCAAGTTTCGGGGCGTGTGTGAAAATGGAGAAGAGGCGACGCTATTCCCTGCGAGGTGCTCAAAGAGGGTCTGGCCTGTGGCTTTTGCATATGGCAGGGAGTGGGAAGGGCAAATGCAAAAGCCTGGGCCATGCTGGGCCGGCGGCGGAAGGCCGGGTGGCTGGAAAGGAGCGTGCAGAGGGCAGAGGGGTCTAGGAACGAGCTCAGAGAAGAGGCGGACGAGCTCAGAGAAGAGGCGGAGATCCCTAGAGTCCTTCCTGGCACCCCATGCGCTCCAGCAGCTCCCCAGGCGGAGCCACATCCAACATGGCGGCCGCCTGGTGCCCACCTGCGGGCGAGCGGAAGTGCGTGTCGACGGGCGCCGGAAGTTACGGAACCGCTCTTGCCGGGGTCTCGGTTGAGCCTCGTACGCGCCGGCTTTAGCATCCCTAGCCGGGCAGGTGGGAGGCTCCGGGGTTCTGGCTCCCGAGGCCGCGGCTCGGCCCCGCCAGCGACATGGCCAGCTCCGGAGAGGTACAGTCTGCGCCTCTCTCCGCACTGCTTCTGCCTCGGTGGTCTCGGTCTCTTTGGGTTCTTCCATCCCGACCTGGGTTTCCTTACATCCTTTCCATCCCGACCCCTACCCCGCCACGTCCTTCCCATCCGGACCTTGGCCTTGCTCCTGCTCCCGTCCTTCTCGCATCCTGTCCCCCAGACGCCTGCCCTGCCTCGGAAGGCACAAACTGTCTTTCCCTTCGCTCGTCCATTCCCGATCGGCAGAGTTGTCCCCGCCTCTCCGTCCCCTGAGTGTCCATGCTCCTCCAAGACCCCTTCCACAGTGCCCCCGTTCCTTGGCTGGTCCCCTGCAGCCCTGGGTCATTCCGCCTCCGTGCCCACGTCCCACTCCATCTTCTATCTCTGGATGCTCAGTGTCAGCCCCAGCCCACTTCTCTCTGGAGCCTGCCTGCTGAATGACGTGGGGGGTGGGTGATGGAGGAAAAGCCATTTCACTGGGGGACTTACAGCATACCCTGGAATTCTTTCCCAACACTCCACAAATCTGGGTCCGATGAAGAAGCTCGCTGCGTCCCTGTAATGTGGTGAAAGGTATTGTCTCTGCAGACAGGGGTGTAGCAGGTACTCTAGACTCTGATTAGCGGCTTCCCGTTGATACTTCCTGCCTATCTGTATGGGCACCTGGGTTGGTATCTGTCATCTTTCAGGACTCAGACCGTTGGGTGCACTTCGCAGATTTAGGAGCTTGCCTGGGTTCTAGGGAGCAGGAGTGAGAGATTGAACTGTCTTCCTCAAAGTGATGGAGCAGGGGTCTGTGGAAATGGCTGGGGTCACTGTGCTGACTGCCCCTCTTAATTTGAAGTGATCTTGGCCTAGAAATGACCCCAGTGGCTCCTTGACTGACAAGGAACGGTGTGTGGCCCAATCGCAGAATGACGGTAAGATTGAAATGAAAGTTCCAGCTCCAGCGGAGGAGTTCTGGGGTAGCATGGCTGTGTGAGCAGATTCCAGTTAGTTGTGTGTGCTTGGGGTCAGGGAATAAAGGGGGTCCTGGTACCTTGATCTTAAAGAGTTCCAGCTCAAAGACCCCTCTTTTTTTTTTTTTTTTTTTTTTTTTTGGAGATCGGGTCTCACTCTGTTCCCCAGGCTGGAGTGCAATGGCTGGATCTTAGCTCACTGCAACCTCTGCCTCATGAGTTCAAGCGATTCTCCTGGCTCCGCCTCTCAAGTAGCTGGGACTACAGGAGCAGACCACCATTCCCAGCTAATTTTTTTTTTTTTTTTTTTTGAGACAGAGTCTTGCACTGTTGCCTGGACTGGAGTGCATGGTGCAATCTTGGCTCACTGCAACCTCCGCCTCCCAGTTCAAGCAATTCTCTTGGCTCGGCCTCCCAAGTAGCTGGGATTATAGGAGATGACCACCAACCCAGCTAATTTTTTTTTTTTTTCTTTAGACAGAGTCTCGCACTGTGGCTCGGCTGGAGTGCAATGGCGCAATCTTGGCTTACTGCAATCTCCACCCCCCGCGTTCAAGCGATTCTCCTGCCTCAGCCTCCTGAGTAGCTGGTGGTGCCCGCCACCATGACTGGCTAATTTTTTTGTATCTTTAGTAGAGATGGGGTTTCACTTTGTTGGCCAGGCTGATCTCCAACTCCTGACCTCATGATCCACCTGCCTCAGCCTCCCAAAGTGCTAGGACTGCAGGCCTGAACCATTGCACCCTGCCAATGTTTTGTATTTTCAGTAGAGATGGGCTTTCACCATGTTGGCCAGGCTGGTCTTGAACTCCTGACCTCAGGTGATCTGCCTGCCTTGGCCTTCCAAAGTGCTGGGATTACAGGTGTGAGCTACTGCACCTAAGCCAGGCTCTGCTTTTTTTTTTTTTTTTTTTTTTTGAGATGGAGTTTCGCTCTTGTTACCCAGGCTGGAGTGCAATGGCGCGATCTCGGCTCACCGCAACCTCCGCCTCCTGGGTTCAGGCAATTCTCCTGCCTCAGCCTCCTGAGTAGCTGGGATTACAGGCATGCGCCACCATGCCCAGCTAATTTTTTGTATTTTGAGTAGAGACGGGGTTTCACCATGTTGACCAGGATGGTCTTGATCTCCTGACCTCGTGATCCACCCGCCTCAGCCTCCCAAAGTGCTGGGATTACAGGCTTGAGCCACCGCGCCCGGCTTTTTTTTTTTTTTTTTAAATAGCACTTCACATGGTTCAGTACTTGTTTTTCTTAGGTATTAAACATGCTCCCAGCAGGGCATGGTGGCTCACGCCTGTAATCCCAGCACTTTGGGAGGCCAAGGTAGACTGATTGCTTGAGTCCAGGATTTCGAGGCCAGCGTGGACAACGTGGAAACCCTGTCTCTACAAAAAATACGAAAATTAGCTGAGGGTGGTGGCTTACGCCTGTAATCCCAGCACTTTGGGAGGCCGAGGCAGGTGGATCATGAGGTCAGGAGATTGAGACCATCCTGGCGAACATGGTAAAAACCTGTCTCTCTAAAAAAATCAAAAAATTAAAACAAAAAATTAGCTAGGCATGGTGGCAGACATCTGTAGTCCCAGCTACTCAGGAGGCTGAGGCAGGAGAATTGCTTGAACCTGGGAGTCAGAGGTTGCAGTGAACCTAGATCATGCCACTGCACTCCAGCATAGCAAGAGAGCAAGACTCTGTCTCAAAACAAAACAGGATCCCATTTCTTTTTTTTTTTTGAGACAGAGTTTTGCTCTTGTTACCCAGACTGGAGTGCAATGGCGCGATCTCGGCTCACCGCAACCTCTGCCTCCTGGGCTCAGGCAATTCTCCTGCCTCAGCCTCCTGAGTAGCTGGGATTACAGGCACGCGCCACCACGCCCAGCTAGTTTTTTGTTTTTTTTTTTTTTTGTATTTTTAGTAGAGACGGGGTTTCACCATGTTGACCAGGATGGTCTCGATCTCTCGACCTCGTGATCCACCCGCCTCGGCCTCCCAAAGTGCTGGGATTACAGGCTTGAGCCACCGCGCCCGGCACAGGATCCCATTTCTACAAAAATCACAAAATTAGCCTGGTGTGGGGACCTGCACCTGTAGTCCCATCTACCTGGGAGGCTGAGGCAGGAAGATCACTTGAGCCCAGGAGGCCATGGCTGCAATGAGCTATGATCGTACTGCATTCCTGCTTGGGAGATAGAGTGAAACCCTGTCTCAAACAAAAAAATTAAATAAAAAATGCTCCCTGTTCTGAAGGCATTCCTGGAGTAGTGGGGAAACCGTTACAGTTTGTCTGATGAGGCTGGCAGTGGAGACCTGGTCAGCTGTGGGAGGCGGTGAGTTAAGTGTGCTTGGAGAGTACTGGCAGGGCTTCCCTGAGGAAGGAGCTTTTGAGCTGAAGTATGAGAGTGTCGCAGCTTCCCTTGCTGGGTGGCATGTCTGGTCAAGGGGACATCTTGTACATAGGCTAGTGGTATCAGTGCTGTGTCTCAGGGGACAGCCTAGGAAATGCCAGGTAGATAAGCAAAGTCCTAAGAAGAGGGGCAGTGGAGAAACAGTAAAGACCTTAAGAAATGGCTGGTGCGGTGGCTCCCACCTGTAATAAATATGAGAATTTTTCTCTAATAAATATGAGAAAAAAAAGGCATCATCATGCCTAGCTAACTTTGTATTTTTAGTAGAGATGCGGTTTCTCCATGTTGGTCAGGCTGGTCTTGGAACTCCTGACTTCAGGTAATCTGCCTGCCTCAGCCTCCCAAGGTGTTGGGATTACAGGCGTGAGCCACCTCGCCTAGCCTTTAGTGTTTTTTTTTGTTGGTTTGTTTTTCTGAGACAAAGTCTCTCTGTGTCCCAGGTTGGAGTGCAGTGCCTCCATCACAGCTCACTGCAGCCTCCACTTTCTGGGCTCAGGTGATCCTCCCACTTTGACCTCCTGAGTAGCTGGGACTGACTACAGGTGCATGCCACCATGCCCAACTAGTTTTTTGTAGAGACGGGGTTTCGCCACTTTGCCCAGGCTGCAACCTGTTTTTTTTTTTCTTTTGAGACAGAGTCTCGCTCTGTCGCCCAGGCTGGAGTGCAGTGGTGTGATCTCGGCTCACGGCAAACTTCACCTCCTGGGTTCAAGCAATTCTCCCTGCCTCATCCTCCTGAGTAGATGGGATTACAGGTGCCTGCCACCATGCCTAGCTAATTTTTGTATTTTTAGCAAAGATGGGGTTTCACCATGTTGGCCAGGCTGGTCTCGAACTCCTGACAAGTTATCTGCCAGCCTCAGCCTCCCGAAGTGTTGGGATCACAGGCATGAGCCACCATGCCCATCCTGTACTCTAGTTTTTGTCTCCTCTGCAGAGCTTGCCACCTTTTTGGGTTTAGGATGCCTTAACAGAGTAGTCTCAGAAAGCCTGAGTCCAGGGAAATGACTCAACTTGCATGCCCAGCAGCCTCCTTCCGGGATCCTCTGGCTGGAGATTCAGGGTGGGTGTGGGGGCCATTCCAGCTGCTTCCTGGGCCAGCTTTTCCTCCTGTCTAGGCATCACCTCCCCAAGTGCCCCACAATTGCATTAGGGGTCTGGCCTGAGATGAACCTTCTCTTTTTTCTTTTTTTTTTTGAGACGGAGTTTCACTCTTGTTACCCAGGCTGGAGTGCAATGGCATGATCTCGGCTCACTGCAACCTCCGCTTCCTGGGTTCAGGCAATTCTCCTGCCTCAGCCTCCTAAGTAGCTGGGATTACAGGCACGTGCCACCACGCCCAGCTAATTTTTTGTATTTTTAGTAGAGACGGGGTTTCACCATGTTGACCAGGATGGTCTCAATCTCTCGACCTCGTGATCCACCCACCTCCCTCATGATCCACCCACCTCGGCCTCCCAAAGTGCTGGGATTACAGGCTTGAGCCACCGCGCCCGGCGAATCTTCTCTTTTATTTGGGGCACAGCATGTGGAAAAGATGATCTGGTGAAATTTGCTGGGGCTGAATGGAGAGAACTGAACTTTCATTCCTGGCATACTGTCTCTCCCTTTAAAAAAAAAAAATACTGTGATTTCT